TTTCGCTCTCCCCCTTCCTCTGTGGGTTCATCCCACTGCCTCACCCCTCATCTGGAACTGCTCCAAGCCTCCTCCTCTCACACCCCCACTTTCCAGAGGCACCCCTCCTTCCTCCTCTGCCAGGCTCCTCCCTCAGCACTGTGTCGCATTTTCCCCTGGGGCAGGTGGCACTTCCAAACCTCCTCCCAGGTGCGAGCTGCGTATAGGGGTGCGCAAGAGATGAGGTTTTTTTTCTTTAGTTTAAAAATGGCCACATATTTTACAGGTCAGGGTTTTCTTGAGTTCACAGATTCTGTAACCAGGTATGGTGCTCAGTCCTTTGATAGTTAGGTTTTAAAAAAAACCCAAAAGGCCTTATTCTCTCTCCTAAATGTACCCTGATGCCGCTGGGGGGAGGGGGGCAGCCTTTAGAAGGGGACTCTGGGTATGGCTAATTTTGTAACCTGGGCAAGTTTTGCAAAGTTTACTTAACCCTTAGCCCGTGTCTCCCATGGCTCTCTGAACTCACCTCTTACCACCCTCCACCTGGTTCACTCTGTTCTCACCTCTGACCTTCTTGCTCTTCTCAGAACACAGAAAACTTATTTCTGCCTCAGGACCTTTGCACTTGCCAGCCCTCTGCCACTTGAAATGTTCTTCCCTCATGTTGCATCTGTCTCCTCCTCACCTCAACATACCCCTCAGGTCCCTTTCCCCAAAAGTACCTTCTTGTAGCACCTGCCACTATCAGACATTCTATTAGATTTGTTTGTGTCTGGTCTACTGTCTTCTCTAGAATACCAGCTGAGTTTTATGAGGGAGTTTATAGACTTGCTCTGGGCTGTGTCTTGAGCTCCTAGCATAGTGCCTGGCCTGTGGTGGACACCCAGTAATTGTCTCCGAATCAACAAATGATCCCCTTTTTCAAATGGAAAAACTCAGGCTCAGACTGCTCCCGGCCTAGGTCACCCGGCTCGTGGGAGGCTGAGCTGGGACTTGAGCCAGGCGTGTGGCCTGGGCATCCCTCTCTTCCCCTCGGCCACCCTCCATGTATCACAGGTCTTCCAGTGGCACTAAGCTACTCAGGGGGGACGCCTCTTCTGAAAGAAGCACTGACTGAACTGGGCCAGTCCCAGCTCACCCCTACATTTCATCTGAATGAAGTCCAGCTGGTGGATGGCTTGCAGCAGCGGCTCGCTGTCCAAGGTCAGGTCAAACTCTGCGGACACTTTCGGTTCCAGGGCGCCTTTCACCCACTGCTCCTGAGACACCTGGACACGCTTTATCAGAGCGTCCGAGATCTTAAAGGGAGCACAGAGTTTAGGGTGTTGGTTTGCAAAGGAACAATCATGCAGCAAGTGGTGAGGGAGGCATGGGGGCAGGGTTTCCCCTCAGTGCTCAGGGACAGGGCGGGGCTGTGTTCAGTGCGTGCACGCTCAAGCAGTGGCAGGAATGCAATAACCTGCCGGTGTGACACTGGGCAAGTGAAAATGCACAGTGTTGTTCAAGCCACACTGTGAAAGTACCTCATGTTAAATGTAAAGAAGCGCCAGTATTTAAAGAAATTATAATAGAAAATCCTTTTGTGAAACNCCTGGTATGACATGTGGGCTCCTCCTTTAGGAGCTCACCCATAGTGCCTGAATCTGCATCTGCCCCTGAGAGACCCCAGTGCTCACCGTCGGACGTCTGCAAGACCACAGTTTTACTGTAGGGCCCGACGCCAGAGGAGTTGAAAGCCTTGACTCTGGCGTTGTAGGTGCTGTTGAAATGGAGACCGTCGATGGTGCACAGGGTCTCCTTGCCGACGTACACCTCCTAAAAGAGAGCCGGACTGCTCATTAGGTGCCTGTTGTGTGGAAAATTTCTCTTAGCAATATTCTGCCATTAAAAGTGCTAGAGTCATGGAGCAAGGAAATTTGGATGAGTGGTGGCAGGGGCACAGACCATGTCCCGGTTGGGCACGAATCCTCATTATTGGCTAACCAAGGCTGTGAGGCATGACGGGGTCCCAGGGAGGTAGAGAGGGACCGCAGGTCTGCAGCCAGTTAGGACAAAGGCTGACAACATCCTGACTCTGTTGATGTCAGCCCTGTCAGGCAGGACTCAGGAGCCCAGGGACACCCACTCCTCCAGGGGGCGGAGGTGCACTTCCTCCTCCATTGGAGCAATAGAGGCGTTGGTTTCCAATGGGAATTTAAGCTAGAAAAATGAGCTAAGCATCTAAATAAACAAAATAACCAATATTATTTTTTAAAAATGGGTCATCACACACGATGGGAAAAGGCAGACAGAAGAAGGGCGTGACCAAAAGTGGGGTCAAGTTGATTTGGACTGGAACCACTTCTGGAGTAAGAGGAGTGCTCCACGCCTCCCCATCTTCTCCCATCCCTGAAGCGGGTGTCTTCCACTCCTTGTCCCCTCCCCCCAGCTGGTTTTTTTCCTGGCCTGCAAAGAGGGTGAGCCATTTGTGTGTAGGACCCTAGAGCTTTTTCTGGGGATTTACTTTGTTCCCCATTCACGTCAAGCCTACCCTGTCCTATTAACTTCCCCCAGTGCGTAGCCTTACACCTGTCCTATGTCACTACACTCTGCTTAGTTTGTCTAAAACACCTTTTCTGCCTGGCTGTGTAGGGGGCTTATTACTCATTTGTTTTTCTAAGTTATTAACAATAATAGCTGTGTGCCAGGCATTTTAGTCCTCACGCAACCCTGGGATGGTGTTGTTACTTTTTGTATTTTACTCACAAGGAGACTTGGAAAAGGCAGTGGATTTGCCCAAGATCACAGTTAACCCATTTAGAAGCCGGGGTTCAAATGCAGGTCCGTCTGCATTCAGAGCCCAATATCGTAGTACACTGGTCCTCATCAATCCTAGCCCTCGGATTGAGTTTTTGTTAGTGGTCATGTCTTATCTTT